GCCACAGCGCCCGGCTATGTTTTGGCTGCAGCAGTCACTGTTGTTTGGCGGGCCCGGGCTGGATTCGAACCCTCCAGCTTAGGTGTCTGTGGCTGGCGCCTTAGCTGCTTGAGCCACAGGCGCCGAGCCAACCACTGGGTGGGTCTTAAGCTGTTTTTCACAAGATGGAAATAAAGTGGGAGGAAAATAAACATCAGTTTAAAAAAATAATCAAATAAAATAAATCTCGGTCTAAATTCCTCAGGACACTGTCATCCGATCAGCCTCCGTACTTTGGGACGTCCTTTGTCGCCCGGAGAAAGTACTACGATCGTCCCTGCGCTTTCAGCCTCTCGGCACCAACAAGCCAACTTCTCCCGACAGCGCCAGCCGCTTCCCGCGCCGAGAGGAGCCTCCCCGGAAGCGGGAGCCGGCGCGATGCAGTCTGGGAATTGTAGTACAGCCACTCACAGGCGACGCCCCGGCGAGATGGTGATTCCACCCAAGGTTCCTGGGAAAAGCACCCAAATGTGAGTGCCCAGGGGGGACACGTCAACACTTACCTATCTCTGGGATCCCACGCCGGAGCTCCAGACACAAGAGGGGGAGAGCAGCGAGGAAGAAAACGCCCACGACCCCTCGCAGGGCCATGGTGGCGCAGCCCCCGGCAGGCAGAGGGCCGCCCCTTCCGGTCGCGCCTTCTGGAGGCGGCGGGGGTTGGGCCGGTCCTGACCTCGGGAATGGGAGGTGAGGGCGGGACGCTGAGATTGGCGGAGTTCAGTTAGAGATTAGAGCTTTAGATTTTGAATCCATAGTCGGTAGCCTTGTTTCAGAAGGAACACGAGTGGCCTCACTAAGTCACACAATGCGCGGGAAGCGGTGGCCCCCTGCGCCTCAGGCGGTAGGACTGTGCAGTCTGGGAAAGCTCTGGAGCGAAACCAAGTGGGAGGGAAAGGGCACTGGCAATTGACCCTGTGAGAAGGTAGCCTCGCCCCTGGGGCTTGCGGCCCTAGAGGGTGATTGTGGGCTTCTGGAACCCAGCTCTGGAACCCAGTCTTCCCTAATGGTTCCTGGGATGAGACAACTCAGAAGTGGGGCCTCAGGCCAGACACCTGCCCACTGCCCACCCAAACCCTAACGCCAGGTCCTGGAGACTGCTACCCCTTGTTCCACCCCTTGTCAGTTTTCCCTGTAGGGGTTACTGTTAATGACAACCTTGGTCTTGTGGTTCTGTGACCTCATTGGTATCTATGACCACTCATCTCTACATATCTCTCCACTTGCAACTCAAGTTAAGCTATTGACATCCTCCTAACCTACAAGAATTCACACTTTGACATTCATTTTTCTGAATCAGAAAATCCATCCATCAATCCTTGTGCTTGATTTGCTTGATTTTTTTTTAACAGACAGTCTCACTCTGTTGCCCTAGGTAGAGTGCCATGACATCATAGCTCAAACTCTTGGGCTCACACCATCCTCTTGCCTCAGCCTCCCTAGCATCTGGGACTACAGGCGCCCCCCCACACACACACACACACAAAAGGCCAGGCTAGTATTGAGTATTTATTTTTTTGAGACAGAGTCTCAAGCTGTTGCCCTGGGTAGAGCGCCGTTAAGTCATAGATCACAGCAACCTCCAACTCTTTTCTATGTTTAGTAGAGACAGAGTTTTGCTTTTGCTCAAGCTGGTCTCAAACTCATTAGCTCAAGCAATCCACCCGCCTTTGCCTCCCAGAGTGCTAGGACAGGCATGAGCCACTTTACCCAGCCTCATTTTTCTATTTTTAGTAGAGGTGAGGTCTCCCTCTTGCTCAGGCTGATACTGAACTCCTAAGCTCAGGAGAACCACTGGCCTCTGCCTCTTAGAGTGCTAGGATTGCAGGTGTGAAATCCTGGAGCCACTGAACCTGCCAGCTTCATTCTTCAATTTACTGTAGCTAACATTCATTGAACCCTGCAACCTGCCTGGTACTGTAGAACTCAAGGAGATTCAAGTATATGCAAGTTATTGATTTTGCCTTCAAGAAACTCAACTAGGTGGGAAAGATAACCCCCTGAATAGATAAAGACATACAAGGCCTACTCCCTGTGATTAGGATGCCCACAGGGTGCTACAAAACCATACCTGGAGGCTTGAGAAGGCTTTCCTTGTTGCAGGACTAAGAAGTCAGTCTGCCTGTCACCTAAGTCAATCAAGGGAGAAGTGGATGAAAGATCAACAATTTCTATTAAGAAAAAGCCAGCAATTCAGGAGAGAAGAGTGAGGATATAGCCTTAAAGAACCTTTCTCCTTTCCTGTTTTTCTTATCTTAAACAATAATCAGCAGAATCCATGACTCACAAACAATAAACAGTCTTTCGGGTAGGAGATAAATTTATAAAACAGTAAGAATGAAGGGGGTGAAGGTCAGGCCGGATCTAAACTGATGAGACCAGCTGTGTCATGTCTGCCCAGCCTGACAGACTCTATCTTATTCTTTTTTTTTTTTTTTTTTTTTAGACAGAACCTCAAGCTATCCCCCTGGGTAGAGTGCCGTGGCATTACAGCTCACAGCAACCTCCAACTCCTGGGCTCAAGCGAGTCTCCTGCCTCCGCCTCCCAAGTAGCTGGGACCACAGGCGCCCGCCACAATGCCTGGCTATTTTTTGGTTGCAGCCGTCATTGTTGTTTGGAGGGTCCAGGCTGGGGATTCGAACCCGCCACCTTAGGTGTACGTGGCTGGCGCCTTAGCCGGTTGAGCTATAGGCGCCGAGCCTCTATCTTATTCTTACTATATATGCTTTGACACTTGCTAAGGGCTTCTTGGGTGTGGCTCTAGGTCGTGGTCCTCAAATGTAGCTCAGAATAAACAAACCTCTTTCAGTTAATTTTACTGAGTATGGCTTCTTTTCCATCAACAGGAACTTTATCTTCGAAATGAAGTTTAGTTTTTCTTTTTTTTTGATACAGAGTCTCACTATGTTGCCCTCAGTAGAGTGCTGTGTAGTCACAGCTCGCAGCAACCTCAAACTCTTGGGTTTAAGTGATTCTCTTGCCTCAGACTCCCAAGTAGTTGGGACTATAGGCGCCCAACACAATGCCTGGCTATTTTTTTGTTGCAGTTGTTGTTTAGCAGGCCCTAGATGGATTCGAACCTGCCAGCCCCGGTGTATGTGGCTGGTGTTCTAGCCACTGAGCTACAGACACTGAGCCCAAATGAAGCTTATTTTTTTTACCAGTCTGAGCAAGAGAGGGCACCTGTAATCCCAGCTATTCAGGAGGCTGAGGCAAGAGAATTGTTTAAGCCCAAGAGTTTGAGGTTGCTGTGAGCTATGATACTATGGGGCGCTATACATAGTGTGACAAAATAAGACTCTGTCTCCCTCCCCACCCCCCAAAAAATGACGCTGCAAAATATAAGGAGTACAATCTCAAGATCACTAAGGGAGAGGTAATATAAATTAAACATTGTCACTAGCACAAGCCCCTGGCTGCCTCTGTAGTAGAAATTACCAGGAACCCAAAGGGGAATCACTCGTTAAGACTTTATTGCAGTTTGTGCCCCAGCACAAGGGAGACACATTACAGGCTTAAGAGTTGTCTGAAACCAGTTACAGATTCCTTTGTTCCTTCTCCACTCCCACTGCTTCACTAGACTAGCCTTAAAAAAAATAAATAAAAAAAAATTAAAAAATAAAAATAAAATAATTATAATAATAAAAAAAGAGTTGTCTGGCTCCATCCTGAGGGTCATTGAGGGAGAATTTAATTTTATTTTATATTTGACGGAGTCTCACTTTGTCACCCTGAGTGCCATAGCATCATAGCTCACAGCAACTTCAAACTCCTGGGCACAAGTGATTCTCTTGCTTCAGCCTCCCCAGTAGCTCAGTCTACAGGTACCCACTACAGCTCCTGGCTAATTTTAGAGACCAGGGACTTTCTTTTGCTCAGGCTGGTCTCAAACTCCTGAGCTCAGGCAATCCACCCACTCCAGCCTCCCAGAGTGCTAGGATTAAAGTGTGAGCCACTGCCAGCCCGTTCAGGGATAATTTTGAAGAGGCCTGTCATAGCTGGGC